ATTTTTCCTTATGCTTATGAACTGAAACAAATAACGATTTTTTTGCACATAAATGGGCTGTTGCCCCACTGTCAATGCACCAAATATTCTTCGTTAGTCCACTTTGGCTCGCTGCGGCAGCGAAAACAGAGAACGACTTCTTGTTCTCTTCGCGTTTGCTCACACTATTGGTATCCTTTTCTGATCTTGCGTTTTTCTGTTTTGAGTAGCACTTTGCCGAAACATGTCCGTAACGACCGCAGTTCCAACATTCCACATTTTTCATGTCTTTCTTATGCTTGGGCTTTTCCTTTTCGGCACGCGACGAGTACATTTTCTGTTCCGCTTTATTTCCCATTTTGTCTCCCACTTTTTGTCGTTCTCCCTCTTCCAGTAACTTAATTTTTAGAGAAATCAAGGAAGGCAAAGAAGCACGCGTCTCCATAGCAATTACGAAATTTTCCTACGAATCAGATAGGCTGGACAAAAAAATTATTACAATAATTTCTTCTGGAACTGATTGATCGATCTCTTGTAATTTCTCGATGACGTCATTGAAATTACTCAAATGCACTGTGACACTGTCTGACTCTGACATCTTCATATACAGCAACTGTTTAAACAACTGTACTTTACGCGCTGGTCCACTAGGCATGTGAACACTAGCCAGCTTTTTCCAAGCTTCCATTGATGATTCGCAGTGTTTAACATAATTAATCTGGGACGGCTTTATACACAACAAAATACTCGCGAGGGCCTTTTCATCCTTGTTATCAAAGTTTGCCTGCTCTGCAACCGTTCCACTTTCGTTTTTAATTTCACGACCACACACAATTGACCAAAGTTCTGAGTGTACCAGCAGACTTTTCATTTGCACTGCCCACGAACTATAATTGTCACTATCAAGTTTTTCTATTGAGTATTGCGAACTCATCTTGTTCGTCTTGTTCATTAAACACCACCGAATCTCTAATTATCGTATAATCTTTTCGACTATTACGCAGTAGTTTTCTTGCTGGTCTGGGCCCATAACCTATTCGGTTTGACGATTTATTAGAGACTAAAAAATGCTGCACGCAGACAGAAACAGAACTTAAAGAAGAAAGATAATTCGTTACTCGTTACTTTAGTGTATAACATAAGAGGAATAAGATATACAGTGGAGCATATGCAAATATTTTCAACAATACTATTAATACTAACGATATTTTTTGTAAAATGTAATAAGATTTTTATTATATACTAGTTGTACTAAGCCAATCTAGTTTTCTAAACATTTCCAAATATGATTTTGCAAAAAACGGATACGATAAAATTTGGTTGGTCAAATTAAAAATAGCAAAAAAACAGATGAACAGAATTATTCAATTTCTTAATCTAACACATCAGAAAAATTGTATCAAAGTCTCTTCTTTCTCAGAAGAATAATTACAATTGAAGGACCTAGCAGCTAGCATTGCATACTTTGTTTGGTTAGTCTTAGTTTTAAAATCATGGTATCATCTAAATAAAAATAAAGTAAAGTAAAGTAAAATAAACTAGGGAAATTTCTAATAAACTAATAGGAAATTTCTCTGCCCGAACTATGCCCCACACACACAGTGTAAATGTGTGAAACGTCAAGCTCACAGCGTACTTTCTGCTATTCGTAACTAACACTAATGCGTTAAAATCATATCAATGTATTGAGGTGCCGACCACTGCACTATGGGAAATATGACCACTTTTCCTGGCCAAAAATAATATCTCAAGAACGAAACAAGATATTTAAGTTCTGATTTTTGATTTGAGTTCACATGGTCAATAGATTTAAGATTTTACTTTTTAAAAAGCACATTCCAACTCAAAAACTAAGCAAGATATTTAAATTTTGATTTTTGATTTGAGTTTATATGGTCAAAAGAACTCAGATTTGAAAAAGTTGTGGGCGGGGCACCGCGCCCTATTTAAAAATAACATGCTAACTGTAGAACTAAGCAAGATATTTCAATTTGGTTCTTTGTTAGTGTTTTATAAAGCCATAGTCATTTTGAAAAAGTAGGTGTGGTTTTTTTTTTATTAATTAAAAATTTTTTTATTTTTTTTAAATTTAAATCGGTTTTGCACTAGTCTCACAGCTAACAGATTCACATTCAAGGTTTTGAGGTTGCCTCCTTAAATTATGAATTTTTTCAAAAGCGCATAAAAGGACATATTCATATTTCACTCATATGAAGAAAATTAAACCATCTACAACATGGACTAAATTACAATGTCCGACTCGGTTTGACTTAGTTTAAATCTCTTTTTAAAAATGTGATTTATTTCTAAAAATTTATTTTGCTAGACTACTTACATTTTCACTTTATTAAGGGGGGACATCTGAGTAACAGGCCAAAAAAAAGCGAATTTTCTCGAATTCTCGAATTTTTTTTGGCCAAATCAAAAAAGCTAATCGAAAATTTGTAAATGGGGTTTTATTATATTATATTTAAACTACACAAACAAATTTTTTTTTAATAAATCGAAAACAAAATGGCGGCCCTGCAGCTATTATTCGTAGGCCCTATTTTTTTAAAGGCTGAACACCTAACGTCCTTAATTTTTGATCTAGAACAAAAAATCAAGTTTTGTTAGTTTCTTTATCTCAACGGCTATCGACACACGTAGGATTTTTTCGATATATTGATTTTTTCCAAAATGGCAAGTGGTTGAACAAAATTTTCCATTTTCACTAACAAAAAACGTCACAAAATTGTTGATAAAAAAAAAGTAAGCAAAATAAAAAAAAAATCCTACGTGTGTCGATAGACATAGGTATTCTGAGTATACTGTCAAAATTTTAGGTTATAGGTTATAGGATCGATAGGTTAAGAGTTGTTCGAGTTAGGTGTTCGGCCAACCCAAAAAAAGTGGTTTCGAGAAAAACGCGTTTAAAGTTTTAAGTACTGTGGGATATACCTGTGAGGCATCGCCGCAGAATGAAAAATTTCGGCACTTAGACACTTTTGCGGGACTCTATCTTTTGATATCTTTTGATTTTTTTAAAATTCTACTCAGATGTCCCCCCTTAAAAGGACAACACAAGTTTTTCGGACACTTCAAATACACAAACACATAATACAAGCAACATTGAAAAATATCCATTTCAAAACTTTTGATTTTGTCCATAAAATTTTCAGTATTCGCGTTTTTAAAATGGCACCAAAAAATCGTAAATTCTAAGCTCATGTAAATGTTAACATCAACAGCTGTTTTTAACAGCTAATTTCTTCGCAGTGGCGCCATCTATGAAAATTTCTGGTATGCATCATTAAAAATTAATCTATTGTGAATGATATGCAGTTAAAATTATTTAAATCCTTTAACTTTCAAAAAATGGTTTTTGGCCAGAAAAAGTGGTCAAATTTCCTATAGTGCACTGTTCTAATCTTGTGATGGTGTAGTGTGTGGTGTAAAAGTAGTTTTAATGTGTTATGTGTTGCTTAAACAATGCATTGTGTTGTTGTGAGTGATTACACAGTGCGACAAAAAAAAATTGGAGGAACTTTTAAAGAGACCTAGTAGGAATTTCCAGTAGTAGGACCTAGTAGGACCAATTTCATTACAATATACAATATTTCATATTTCACTGGACAAAAGTGTGCAACGCATTGAAGGAGACATCTCCGACCCTATAAAGTATATATATTCTTGATCAGGATCACCTCCTGAGTTGATATGAGCATGTCCGTCTGTCCGTCTGTCCGTCTGTTTCTACGCGAACTAGTCTCTCAGTTTTAAAGCTATCAACTTGAAACTTTGCACACACCCTTCTTTCCTTTGCACGCAGTATATAAGTCGGAACGGCCCGGATCGGCCGACTAAATCCTATAGCTGCCATATAACTGATTGATCGGAAATGGTATAACTTTGGTGTTTTTAAAGTTAGAGAGTTCAAATTTTAGGTGAGAGCTATTTTTGGCAAAATAATACGACATGACAAATTTTGTAAGGATCGGCCGACTATAGGATATGCTGCCATATAACTGAACGATCGGAAATGACCCAACTCGTGTTTTTGAAGATAGAAAGCTGGAACTTGGTACAGATTATATATTTGGTCAGTTGATCCGACCTACCAAATTTCATAAGGATAGGCCGACTATATCCTATAGCTGCCATATAACTGAACGATCGGAAATGGTACTTGGTAGAAATATCAACTTTCGTATTTATGAAGATAGAAGTTTGGGACTTTCTTTTAGATTTTTTATTGTAAAAAATTGGATTATATATTCCTATTCCCATAAGGATCGGCCAACTTTATCCGATGTTTGCGATATATATCCGGTTTTAACTGCAAGGGTATATAAACTTCGGCTCCGCCTGAAGTTAGCTTTCCTTTCTTGTTTGTTGATTTATTATTGTGATAAACTGATTATATTATGATATTCTCATAAGGATCGGCCAACTAAACAAATTTGAACTGCGTGGGTATTACAGGAGTCTCCATGCCAAATCTTCTAGTCTCTGAGTTTTATGCATTCCTGGCTATATACATGGCTATATAGACTCAGCTGTTGATGTTGATCAAGCATACATATTAAATATGCATTTACATATCTAGCATAGCTATTGAACGAAATGCCGGAACGAGATTATAATGCATTATAGTGGAATTAAATAAAAGTCATGAATCAGAAAATAAACAAATACTTTTTCTGGTTTATTTTCTGGTTTCTGATTTTATCGAATTTAGTGAGTCAAAATCATTTCAGCCCTTCTACTACCGACCGCCGAGCTACCGAGCTGCTTGTGGCATGTTAAAAATACCATCTTCGATATATTATTTAATTCAATTTCATAAACTATTTTATTATACATTTTTATAAAGATCTGCAAATTATATTCGATTTTAGCGATATAAATCCCATCTTAACTGCAAGAATATATCACGTTTGGCCGCCCCCAAAGTTTCTTTGCTTGCTAAATTTTTAAATTGTAATGTATTAACTAACTTATAGTATCATTAAAAATTAATCAAAAGAAGTTTAAAATACCTAGAGAAGCATAGTAATCACTAAATGATGATAAATGATCTCGAAACTCAGCTGCAGTTGAAAGTGCCAAATAAATTTGACTTCGTCTGCCATCTGCACCTATCTGAAAAAAAGAAAATTCAGCAATCATTAGAAATTTAAGACGCACTATAAGTTATAAAAAAAGGATTGATAGAAACAAATGTGGTTATTTTTATACCCTTGCAGAGGGTATTATAATTTTGTGCAAAAGTGTGCAACGCAGTGAAGGAGACATCTCCAACCCTATAAAGTATATATATTCTTGATCAGGATCACCTCCTGAGTTGATATGAGCATGTCCGTCTGTCCGTCTGTCCGTCGGTGCGTCTGTCCGTCTGTCTGTCCGTTTCTACGCGAACTAGTCTCTCAGTTTTTAAGCTATCGTCTTGAAACTTTGCACACATCCTTCTTTCCTTTGCACGCAGTATATAAGTCGGAACGACTGGAATCGGCCGACTATATCTTATAGCTGCCATATAACTGAACGATCGGAAATGGTTTTAGGTAGAAATACCAACTTTGGTATGTTTGATGATAAAAGTTTGGGACTTTTTTAGATTTTGTATTGTAATAAATTGGATTATATATTCATATTCCCATAAGTATCGGCCAACTGTATCCGATGTTTGCGATTTATATCCGGTTTTTACTGCAAGGGTATATAAACTTCGGCTCCGCGCGAAGTTAGCTTTCCTTTCTTGTTTTTTTTAACATACACTTTACAATCACTTACAATCAGGCAACTTTTTAAAACTAACGAACTAACACAAGATTTCTATTTGGGAAAAATTTTGACTCAATCCTGATCTGCTTAGATACCACACGAGTCCAAGTCGGATAGTTTTATCTCTTTTTGACAAAGTAGTTACAAAAGTCGGATAGTTTTATCTCTTATAGTCTTCGACACGCGTTTAAAATTTTCGCCCATTGGTAGAGTGTATATACCGTATATATGTATATATCTCCTCTTAAATTGGTCGATTTAGATTTAGTTGGTTTTTCAGACATGAATTAACTATAACAATAAAGGAAAGCTAACTTCGGGCGGAGCCAAAGTTGAATACCCTTGCAGTTAAAACCGGATATATATCGCAAACATCGGATATAGTTGGCCGATATGCCTTTTCAGTTTCAGATTTCGTTAAGAGTGAAATTAAAAGAATGCGAAGTAATAATATTAAAAGGCCCAGTAGAAGTACAAGGCCCTTACAATTCACCAGTATTGGTGCTACCCAAAAAAGGTCAGAACGCAGATTGTAGCCCAAAAATAGGCTTGTAATAGACCATATAAAATTAAATGAAAACACAACACCGAATAGATACCCGATGCAAACCCCTCTGTAATATTAGACAACATAGGGAAGGCTTAATTCTTTTCAACAATTGGCATGGAATCAGGATTCCATCAAATTTTAATGAAGGACACAGATATTGAAAAAACATACATTTGCATTAAGGGGGGACATCTGAGTAGCATTTTGAAAAAATCAAATTTTTTTTTTTTCGCTTAAAAAATTCTTTAGGGTCTTAAAAATGACATATCAAAAGATAGAGTCCGGCAAAAGTGTCTAAGTGTCGAAATTTTTCATTCTGCGGCGATGCCTCACAGGTATATCCCACAGTACTTAAAACTTTAAACGCGTTTTTCTCGAAACCGCTTTTTTTGAGTTGGCCGAACACATAACTCGAATAACTCTCAACCTATCGATCTAATTTTGACAGTATACTCAGAATACCTATGTCTATCGGCACACGTAGGATTTTTTTTTTATTTTGCTTACTTTTTTTTATCAACAATTTTGAGACTTTTTTTGTTCGTGAAAGTTGAAAATTTTGTTTAATCACTCACTATTTTGCAAAATATCAATATATCAAAAAAATCCTACGTGTGTCGATAGCCGTTGAGATACAGAAACTAACCAAACTTGATTTTTTGTTTTAGATCAAAAATTAAGGACGTTAGGTGTTCGGCCATGGACCCCCTTTAAAAAAATAGGGCCTATGAATGAAGGCTGCAGAGCCGCCATTTTGTTTTCGATTTATTAAAATTTTTATTTGTATTTGTAAATTTTATTATGTACTTTAAATATAATATAATAAAACCTCATTTACAAATTTTCGATTAGCTGTTTTGATTTGGCCAAAAAAAAATTCCAGAAGATCCGCTTTTTTTTTTGGCCTGTTACTCAGATGTCCCCCCTTAACAATGGAAAATTTGACTTTCTTTCTGAATTCGGCTTACCAAATGCACCCAGAATTTTCCAAAAAGCAATGGATGACATACTTAGAAAACAAGTAGAAAAAATATTTCACGTCTACATGGATGATATTATAATTTTCTCAAACACAATCGAGCAACATTACTCGGATTTAATTCAAATAATAAGCATTTTACAGAGAGCCAATATGAAAATTTCTCTCGAAAAATCTAGATGTTGTAAATTGGAAACCTCTTTCCTTGGTTATATTGTACCTCATAATGTAATTAAAACAGATCCGGACAAAACTTCCACAACTTAAAAATATCCGTTACCACAAAATATTAGAGAACTTCGAAGTTTTCTAGGCCTAAATGGATATTACCGAAAATTTGTCCGAAATTATGGTAAAGTAGCAAAACCTCTAAATAAATATTTAGGAGGGGAAAATGTAAATGTTTCTAAAAGAATGTCTTCAAAAGTTTTAATACAGTTGGTCGATTCAGCTGTAGAAGCTTTTAACGAGTTATAAAAAAATTTATAAGGACAAGTTGAATTAGTTCAACCAGTTTATGGGAAAAAATTCACTTTAACAACAGACGCATCAGACGTAGCTATTGGGGTGGTATTATCACAAGATAATACTTTTATTTCTAAAACACTTAATGTTGTGGTCTCGTTGAGTTCTATTTTAGATTGCTTTATTGTATGCGAAGCTTACAGAGTGGCCAGATTCTTAAAGTACTACATAGAAGGTGTATAGAATGGAGGAATACAAAACAGATGTGAGATTGACAATATGTAACTCATCTCCTCCTTCAATTAAGAACAAATGGGATTCGGAAATCCTTGGGCTTAAAACGATATACTTCTTGGCGAACACGACTACTTTGGCGAACTGTTATGCATGATGAAAGTCGTGGTGGTTGTTTTTGCCTTGGTTGTTGGTTCTTTGACGTGGAGCATTCTCGGGTGGCTCAGGTACATAATTACGTTGCTGAACGGTTGACGGAGTTACCGGTATATCTTCTTGTTGTTGTAGTGGTTGATTTGAAGGCGGCGGAATATCCGGGATCCAAAAGAACTCTTGAGGTTTTTCGATGGAGCTGCTTGCTGGGAACTTCGGTTTTCGCTGGTTGAAGTGGCGCTTGATATCACCATTTATGGTGCGAACCATGAAAAGCATTTTTCCAATTGGATGGTCAATAGAGCCTTGAATCCACTTTTCTCCCCTTGCATAATTATGAGCGTAGACCATTTTAGTTGGGACGTACTTGGTAACCGATTGCTTGGCTTCGACAGGCTGCTCGAAAAGTTTACTTAGTACGGTACGACCATAAATTAACTCGCCGGGAGATTTTTCGTAGGAATATGGAATGAACTTGTAAGTAGCAAGGTATTTAGTAACTGCTGCTCGGATTGTTATACCGTATTTGAGGTTTTTCTTGACTGAGAATTTGAACGTCTGAACGAAACGCTCTGCTAATCCATTGGATGTTGGATGGAACGGTGCTGTGGTTATGTGTTTTATTCCATAACGTTGGCATAATTCCTCAAAGGCGTCAGCCGTAAGCTGCGGACCGTTGTCGCTGACCATGGTTTTTGGATACCCTTCGATGGCGAATATCGATGATAGTGCGGCGATCGTGTTAGCGGTTGTAGTGGACGACATTTGAACTACAAATGGGAACCGCGAGTAAGCGTCTACACAGTAAGCGAATCGAATATTGAGCCGGCGAAGTCGATAAGGATTTTCTCCCACGCTGTTGTTGCTGCTTGCCAACTTTGGTATTCTTTTGGAGGAGCAGGATTGTTGCTGCATGACTGATCAAGGCTTTTAATGTCTGCGTCGATTGAAGGCTACCAAACATGTTGTCTAGCTAGCTGCTTCATTCGAACAATGCCCCAATGTCCTTCTTGTAACAGATTCAGGATACGCGCCTGAAGAGTTACTGGGATTACTTCACGACTGGCATCTGTGTGAAGGCTAAGCATTTTTTTGTTGATTGTGAAGCAAATTTTCGATTAAAGTATGGTGATAATGCTTCCTCGCCTTGCTGAAGTTTTTCTGGCCATCCTACAGTAACATACCGTAAGACTTGTTTGAGAAGTTTGTCCTTTTCGATGTGGTTGCGAATGGTCTCAGAATTGACCGGTGGTGACAGTTCCATTTCGATGTGGCAGGCTTCTTCTTCTCTGTCGAAATCCGGATCCATGCCCACGGGAAGGCGTGATAGGGCATCTGCGTTGCCATGAGCAGATGTAGAGCGATACTGAATCTCAAAAATATAGACCATGAGAATGATGGCCCAGCGCTGTAGCCTGTTTGATGTCATTAAAGGCAGATGCTTGCCTGGATTAAAAATAGCTGCTAGTGGCTTGTGATCCGTTATAAGGGTAAACTTTCGGCCGTACAAATATTGGTAAAAACGTTTTACTCCGAATGTTATAGAAAGTCCCTCTTTTTCGATTTGGCTGTACTTAACCTGATGCTTGTCAAGCGTTTTGGATGCGAAAACAATAGGCCTCTCCTTGCCATCTTGTTGGATATGTGAAAGGACTACACCAATTCCAAACGATGATGCATCCGTCGCTAGGACAAGTGGTAGATTTTCATCGAAATGAGCTAGCTGAGTCGCATTGATAATATGGGACTTCAGGGCTGTAAAAGCTTGTTGTTATTGCGGCCCGAAGAGGTATGCTACATTTTTTCTACGAAGTTGGTTTCAAGGAGCGGCCAACTGAGAATAGTTCAGTATAAAGTTGAAATTGTAATTAACTTTACCCATGAATGCTTCTAATTGCTGCAGATTAGAAGGCGGACGCAACATTTTAACAGCCTCCAAGCCTGAGCTGTCTGGAAAAATCCGTTGAGCGCTGATTC